AATTTCAAAAGCATCCGACCATTTTCTGTAATGAACATGCTGCGCTTTCTTCATCAGAAGTAACTCAAAGTTTCCAAACTCCATATTCTTTCGGAGCAACCAGTTTCATTTTTAATAACCTCAAGGAAGCTGGCAAGGTGATGAGCGTGTAGTCACACTGCTAATGAAGCCACGTGGTCTCTCTGCAAGGGGCCAGGGGAGGCCCTCAGAACGCAGGACTCCGAGCCGGAGAGGGTGTGAGGAGGAAGACCGGGAAGACCCCACCGTACAGGGCAGGGGCTTGGCTCTGCCCCCCTCTGCGCCCACCGGGGCAGGGGCACTGTTCCGGGGCTGAGGCAGAGCAGACCAGACCAGGGGTGCATTCCGGAAAACCCCCTGTGCTGGGAAGAAAAGACCCCCCACAGCCAGCACTGAGGCATCTTGGGAGACAGGAGTTGGGGGACCCTGGACAAGAAAGGACGTCAGACAGGGAGGCAGGAAGGGAAGAAGCACAGCCACTGGGCAGATGACTCTGGTCCCCAGGAAGAGTGATGTGATGAGGAAGCGGCCGGCCTGGGGCAATGGAGCCTGTGCTCCGGGGCGGCCCTGTGTCTGTGTGTCCGTGTGTCCACGTGTCTGTGTGGAGCCCCAGAGGAGAGCGGGTGCTCTACACAGTGTCTCCCTCTCTGGGGTGGACCTGTCCCTGCAGGAAGATGGGGCTGTGGCTTGTCTACACTCTCCTCCCAGTCACCCACCAGCTGTCACTCAGCTGCTTGTCTACAGAGGCCTTGTCCAGCTGGCAGGAGGGCGCAGCCACCTGGGCAGCCCCACACCTGGCCAGCCAGGCACTGGTGTCTGGTATGTGTGCCCACTCATCCTCCAAACGCCCAGGAAGCCTCTCGTGTGTGAAGTGTGTGCGGGGCACCTGGCTGAGGGGGGGCCAGTCCACAGCGGGGGGAGGGTAGCGATGCGCGCCCTGAGCCCATCAGAGGGACGGGATTGGGCTGGCTGGGGCGGGGGGCAGCTGCCTGAATCTTATCAGGTGGACCGACGGGCCTTCTGCGGTGACGTGGGCCCAAGACCCGAAGGAGGAGACAGGGGGAGGGCCCACAGGGACACACAGACACAGCAGCTGTGGGGACAGAGACCAGGACCGTGGCTGAGGGCCTGCTCGGGACTGCCCCAGGCGTGGCCACCTGGCCGGCAGCATCGGCAGCACCTGGTTGGAAAGGTGCACGATCAGACCCCCACAGACGTGCTCCGTCAGGAATGCGGGGGGCCAACAAGCCTGCGGGTGAGTCCGCGGGTGGGACCCGTGGCCCCATCCCTGGTCCAGGCATCTGGAGCCAGGGAGACACCCAGGGGAGAGAGCTCTCCCGCTGGGAGAGGCGGGAGGATGGCCCTGTGGGAGGATGGCCCTGCGGGAGTCCCGGCATGAGGGACCAGGGAGAGAAAAAGGAGCGGGGTAGACAGGGAGCAGGACGGAGCTGTGGCCCAAGACCAGCGGCCAGGACGGCGAGGGGACAAGGAGGAGGAGGCTGAGGCGGTGCAGGGGACTGGACAAGAGGAGGTTGCAGACCGTCTGCTCTGTGCTGGACCAGACCCAGGACAGGCCAGCCGACAGGGAGGCTCAGACGTGCTTCCCAGGAACAGATGGGGAGGGGGGTGAAACATTCCTGGGGGGTGCGAGTCTCTGAAGGGAGGGGGCGGGGGGGCTGCCTGCCGTCTGACAAGGTTCATTTTGGGGGACACCTGAGCAGGGTCTCCTGCTGCAGGGGCAGAGTAAGGATCCGCAGAGAAGAGCCTGGGCCAGGGGAGTTCTGCCGCGCCTGCCGCGCCGTCCCTCACCACGGACGCGGCCACTGAGGGGTTTAGTGCCCTAGTAATAAGGCCACAGAACACGCTCCCGCTCACCAGCAATCAGGGAGCCACCAATGAACACCGGGAGACGGCATTTGTCACTCCCTGTAGGAGACAGACCCAGGCTGATGGTCTCAGGTGTGGGCAAGCCTGGGAGAAGGGACGCCCTCGGGGATTCTGGGAGGCGTGTCCATTGGCACATTGTCCCAGAGAGTGCGATGTCACTGAAATACAGCCTGCGGGTCCCCTGGGAGCCCAGGCGTCCCAGTAGCTGGGACACGCCCTGGAGGAAGGTCACAGGTGACTCAAGGAAGATCTGCCTGGGTCCTTACCACCGTGTGGCTCGTTGTGGGCAAAACTAAATACGAGACACATACTCAGCAGCTAAACTGTGCAAACATGTTCCTGGGACCACTGTGTGGCTACTGGGGTGTGGGGGGCAGAGATGCGGGGGTGGGGGGAGCTGAGCAGAAACCGAATGCCCTGCTCTCCCCCCGGGGGTCGTGAAACTCCCTCTCCCAGAATGTCCCCCGTCACAGCTCACCCCCAATCCCGGTCTGAGTTTTCACTAAGAGGCTGTTGAGGCACCGACACACATTTGGGGACAAGGATAAAAGCCCCCCGAGCTGTTTCATAAAACAGAAAGTGCAGACAGACGGCAGAGGGTGACTCTGTGCCAGGAGAGTCCCCAGGAGGAGCCCTGGCTTCGAGTCTCAGGAGTGGCTCTGTAGAGTAGCAGGAGGACAGGCAGAGAGGTCCCAAAGGGTGAGCAGGATGAAGGATTCGGGCGCTTCGCCCTAGAGGAAAAATTACTCTGGTCGGTGTGACATTGACCTACAAGAGCAGACTCTCTGAAAACCCTGGAGACACGTCACAGGGTGGCCCCATCAGGACTGATGGGCAGCAGATTCCCCTGAGCCGGCTGGAAAGGCAACTGGAAAGAGATGCGTCCAGAGAGCAGCATGCACCGCGTTGGAAAGAAGTGATTCCCCCGCCCACAGAGGTATGCAAGCCCAGGCCAAGTCAAGCAGGCAAGGAGGTTGGAGAAGGTGCTCCCCTAGTCCACCCTTCTTGCTTCAAGTTCCCAGGTTACTTCCAACTTGAAGATTCTGACTCTCTCTCTCTCTCATCCTCACCTGAGACATGTTTATTGATTTTAGAGAGAGGAATGGGGACAGAGAGAGAGAGAGAAACTTCAGTGTGGCAGAAAAACATCAACAGTTGTTTCTCATACACGCCCCAACCTGGGATCAAACCCACGACTTAGGTACATGCCCTGACGGGGAATCGAACCCGCAACCTTTTGGTTCTCAGCTGCCGTGCCGGTGCCTCACTCTCTGCCGGAATTCCTGCCGGAATTCCTTTACTTAACACAATCCATAAAAACTTCACTGCTTGCTGCTTTTTGGTAAGGTTCGACCACTCACGGAATCATACATACTACAGACTGCTCACCTCCGCCATCTGCCCTCTGGGTCCCGTGCCGACCGTGTGAACCAGCGATTATAATAAGCTCAGGGGTTCCCGGTCCTGTGGCTTCATTGATCCCGGGCACCCAGGCCCTTCCCACTGCTCCCCCCACCCTCCGCCCCGGTGGGCAGGCACCAGCCCCTGTTCCCACCCACCGAGGCAGGCAGCCCAGAAGCCATAGCCTCCATCATTTCTGTTTCAAGTTTGCCTCCTTTGACTGCCACGGAGACAAAAGGAGCTGGGAAGGACCCTCCCGTGACGAGCCCCGTCATCGGACCCATCACGGCTACGCATCTCCAGACAGAGAAAAGCCGATCCAACACGGAGTGCGGGGGGCTTCATCCCCATTTCTCCTAAAAGGATCAATTAAAGCCTTAAGGGTCGGCTGATGGTAGCCTCTGCTTGAAACTCCGAGGAAATGAACTTGACCTTCCAGATAGAGAAAAGCCAGGGATTTCCTCTGGCTGGTACCTTAGTTTGACTCAATGATACAGTGTCAATAGTCTAACAAAGAAATCTTACAAGCCTTGAATGGGCTTATTGTTTAAAATTTCAAATTGGGCTCTGGCTCCCACAGAGCTGCCTTTGATGGGTCTTTCTTTGCAGTGAGACAGGAAAGCCCCCTGTGTTTTTGAGGGAGGGGATCGCCCCCCAGGGGTTGCCTTGACTTGGATGCCCACCTCCTACCCCGAGGGAGTCGGGTTTGGACTCCATGCACACAGAGAGAGCACTCGTTCAAAGGCACCGGCAACTTATTGTCAGAACAGAACCTACGGAGAGAGGGTGCTTCTCCAAGATCGAATACTGGGTCCTGTGTCTTGATACCAAGGCACCAGCTTTGACTTTTTTTTTTTTGAACCCTACATTCAGAAGCTCAGACTTCTCCCTGTGAAGTGAAAATTGCCTTCTGGTGGAGAAAGGTTTTAATGATCGCTTTGCTTCCCGCGTCTCCATGGTGACAGGGCGCGCACCGCCCACCCCCCTCCTGCTTTATTAGGCCTTTCTTCCTCCCTGGAAAGTAATCAATCAAGACACATAGACGCCTTTGTGACCAGATTTATCACCTGAACAATCGACGCTGCCGCGGGGGTGGGGAGTGGACCGAGTCCCCGTGATTTAATGAAACCGGGCTCCGTCCGGGCGCACGCCCTTCACCTCCCCGCTGGCAGCTGCAGGAGCACACCTGTCGGGGAGGCGGGCGGCGCGCCCAGGTGCGCCCAGCCCCGCCGGAGTCGGGAGCCCAGAGGAAGCCCCTCTGCTCGGGGCCCTAGGAGCTCTGCCCGGCCAGGGCGGGGACGCCGGGCCACCTGAGCTGGGGCCGGGGGGAGGCAGAGCTCCGAGCCAGCCCTGGCGGAGGCGGCCACGGGTCTGACTCTCCTCACGGAGCTGGTCAGCAGCACCCAAGGAAGGGAAGCTCCTGGGAGGGCCAGCCCTGCCCACCAGCCGGCGAGGAGGGCCCCTGACGCCGAGCACCTGGCTCCACCCGGAAACCGGCTTCTTTCTGCACAAAGGGCTCCGCGGCGCGCCCCGGCCGCGTCGTGGGGAACGCGGACTGCGGGGTCCGAGTGCCCGGTTCGACCGGGGCTCCCCGAATGCAGGCGGGGGCGCGGAGCAGCGCCTGGGACGTGCGCCCAGCGCCGCTTGCCCGGGCCTCCCCCACCCGCCCTGCCGCCCCCGCCCGGCCCTGTTACCTGGATTCTCCCCGGCATCCGCGGAAGAGGTGGCCGAGGAGTCGGTGAGGACGCTGGGGTCACTCTGCGAGCGGCCCCGCGACACAAGGCAGCCGCTCCCGTCCTCGGACGCGGCCATGGGCCCAGCGGGCGCGGGGGCAAGTTGGAGGGGGCCTCGTGGAATCAGAGCATCCAAGGCGGCCAAGGTCACTGGCGAGGGGGCTGGAGGGGGCGCCTCTTTAAAAAGCAAAACCAAAAAGGCCGGGGAAAGGGAAAGAACCGGCGGGCGATGCTGGGGCCGCTTCGGGGCGGCGAGACAATAGCCCGGCGGCTGCCGCCCGGCGCATCCCAGTGCGCGCGGCCTGGCTCTGTTATTTATTCGAGTTTATTCCCATTCTTCAGTCCGTATTCCAGGAAAAAAAAAAAAGTTGAACCAGGAAATAAAAACTTTTTCTTGTCAGTGTTTATTGCGTGCTTGGGGCAGGGGTTGATGTCCAGGAATTTCTAAGGGCGCTCCCTCCCCCCACCCCACCCCCCACCCCCCCGGAAAAAAAAAGGAAAAATGAAGAATCTTTGCTCTTGCAATTGCTTTAATCTGAAAGCTCTTCTTGGAGCATCTGTTGGAAAACATTAGGATTCTCCCATCATGCCGCGCGAGAGGAGCATGACGTCACGAGAGAGGGGAGTGAGAAAGAGCACGGAGCCAGGGAGGGGTCTCAAATACCGGGACTGCACGCCGCCGCCTGCGGGAAGTGGGGGCTGGACCCTGAGTTACGAACCGCGCTCCCACCCCAGCGGCGCTCTGGACCCCGGGATGCCTCCGTGTCCCCCTTCCGGCTTGTGGGGACGGGAATCCTAAGGGCGTCTCCCTCGGAGGCAGGGCCAAGCTCCCCAGTGGCTCAGGCAGCTCATTTCCTGGTCTCTTCCTCTCTCGGGGATTTGAAGGCCAGTGGACCCCCAGCCCAGGCTCCATCATTGCGGCAGGGGGTGTGTGGGGGGCGCTCTCTCCCCGCCCACCTCAGCCCCTCCCCACTGCCTACCCCTCCTTCCTCCAGGCCCTCAGCCCCTAACCTGGGAGGGGAGGGGCAGGGCCCCCGGTGCCTTCCAGTGGGGCTTCCCCACATCACTCTTGATGAAGGTGTCAGGGCCAAGCAAGGGAAGTGTCACCCCCCAGGGCCGCCACTCTCACAGGTGTCCTCCAAGGTGCTAAGGAGCACAGCTCTCAATTCTAGATGGCGGTGCGGGAGGCGGGCCTCAGCTGTGCGCTGAGTGCTGGCCTGGTCCAGCTTCAGCCCCTCAAACAACCCCGGGGGCCAGGGCTGGGTCCTTCTGGGGCAGTACCTTCCCATCCTGCCAGCACCTAATGCAGGGTGGGGGCCCCGGGGCAGCACCCAGGCTGAGTGAGATGAGACCGGGATGAAGGGCCAGGGACAGAAGCACAAGTGCGGAAACGGCACAGGTGAGGGGCCGAGACCTGGGCTCCGGGCGCAGTTGCCTCCAGTTCATTCACTCGTGCGTTCGCTCAGAATGTGCACAGGCGGCCTCCTGGGAGCCCGGCACCAGGAGGGACCCAGCGGTGCACACGCCCAGAAGCGCACGCCCCCTGGGTCGTCCAGGAGGGAGGGCGGAGCCGGCAACAAACCAACAGATCCATGTCCACCACCCCAACCTTTAACTGCAGTTGACAATACAGTGAAACAAAGAGAAAACGCAGAGGACATTTACTGGATACTTTTTAGATACATAAAAGCGCTGTTTGGTGATGTGCCCAGCTCCGGCCTGAGCGCTTTAGTCCCAGGTGAAATTCTTCCTCACCCGGCCTGGGAGGTGGGAGTGGCTGTAGCCCTGTCTTAGCGCTTAGAGCCGGGGGGCACCTGCGCAGGCCACAAGCCAGGTCCTGGCGGGGCTGGGATACAGCCAATGCCCCTAGACCGGGGTCTGTCCCAGTGGGTCCTGGGGCGGCCCCTGCCCAGAGCTGAGGTCCGGGCCCACGGGCAGGTCCAGAGGCCCGCAGCTCACACCTCCGGCCCCTCCACAGCTGGAAGACAAGGCCTTTGCCTGGCTGGCCAGCGGCAGGGACAGCGACGGGCCAGCTGGGTGGAGGGCCGCCCAGGGGCGTTTGCAGGAGGAGAAGGGGGAAGGCACCCACCACCCTCAGCTTCTCCGCCCTCACTGCTCACCACCTGCCCTGCTACTGATGTGAGATTCTTCTTTGGACAAACTCTTTGCTCTTAAAAGCAGTTTCACAAAAATCATCACCGGCGACAGAAACGCAGCCTCCCCGTCGTCACTGGCTGGAGCGGCTCATGGGTCGGGCCTCGCCCACGAACTGGAAGGTCACCAGTTCAATTCCCGGCCAGAGCACATCCCTGGGTTGTGGGTTTGGTCCCCAGTCAGGACGCTTATGAGAGACGACCGACCGATGTTTCTCTCTCACACTGATGTTTCTCTCCCTCCCTCCCTCCCTGCCCCTCGCATAGAGATAAATAAACATACAGAGTCCGGCAGGGGTAACGCCTGCCTGAGTGTGGTTGGCAGGGTAAGAATATGGTGCGATAATTTACAGTTTGAGTTCAAACATTCCATCTACAGTGTCATCAGGTGAGCTTGAGTGACATTGTTCTGTTACAGCGTTACATGCTAATGATCTTGTAATAGAAGGCTTTATAATTAAAAGGGGGAAGTATGTGTGCCAGATGCTGTACACACACACACACACACACACACACACCCCAAGTACTGTGATTGGTCACAGCTGGGTTGGTACGGGGCTGGTCATTTTATTTTTCTTGCGCTTTGCAATGCTCTGTAATAAAAACAGTTTTAAAATTTTTAAAAATTAGCAACCCCAGGTCTCTTGGTCAATAGAAGATAAAGTCTCCTGGTGAACTTGGCCTTCAAAGTCGCTCACCCCCAACCAGGACCACTGAGGCCTGGAAGAGCTGGCCAAAGGCAGCTGTCTGCTGAAGGGTCCCAGCCTGAGGGTCTTCAAGGGGTCTTTGTGAATGTCACCAAGTGTCCCTCTGCAGCAAGATCCCTGGCAAAGGTGGGACTGACTGGAAAGCACACTCCACGTCCCCTTGGGGACCACTGAGGCTTCCTAATGCCCCCAAACAGAAGCCACTCCAATGCCCATCAACAGACAGATACATGAAGCGTGGCCCTTCCATCCTGCCGATGTCACCTTATTCAGCCACAAGACCCTGACACCTGCTAGGACACGGATGGACCTTGAAACGTTACTCCGAGGGAAAAGGGCTCGTCACAAAGACCACACGTGCGTCATATTCCATTTATGTAAATTAGTTCAACAAAGCTGTTCAAAAGCAAACCCAACGAAGCAAGGTAAACGGAGGCCCTGGGCTGAGCTTTGGATGTGAGGGAGTGTGGGTGTCCAGCTCTTGCCTCTGAGGAGAATAATCCACTCACAGCCCTTCCCGTCCCTTCCCGGGGCTCCAAATCAGAAAAGCCCTCCCGGGGTCACCCTTCTGTCCCAGAATCAGAAAATGCTAGGCCACTCAGTGAGCCCAGGAAACCCTGGGGACCCTGATGTGGTTGCCCCGGAGAACTGCAGAGCCACACAAGGTTGGGAGAGAGTCTCTTTTCCAACAACACAAACAAGTGACAAGGCGGAGCGTCTTCCTCTGTCCAGGGCAATCCAGGAGGACGTCATGGCGGAGGTGACCCTGAGGCTGGCTGGCAGGGTGGCCTGCTATGTGGCATGTGCCTCTCATCATTGGGGAGTGGGGGGAGAAAGCTGCATGGGGACCTAACCCCACCCGCCCGCCTCTCCAGAGTTGGCTTTATTCTCACACCAAGTTCAGGTTAAATCTTTCCTGAGCATCTATTTTGTACCCAAACACGTGACTTGCAGGGACTATCACAGTGAACGAGATGGGACCAGTCCTCGGCTTGGTGGTGCTAGTGATCTCGTGGAGAAGACGGGCCCAACGACTACCCCTCGGTCCGCCGGGGCCTTCAAGAGCACAGAGGGCGGGGTGCCAACCCAGACTTGAGGAGGGAGGGTGCCCCCTGGTGAGAGGAACTGGCTGGGCTCAGGCTGAGAGGTGCAGCAACCTGGAGCTCAGAAGTCCCCCAAAACGGGCAGAGTGAGGGGCCAGGGCAGAGCTAGGCTGGTGAGAGGGGCAGGAGCCAGGCCGTGCAGTGCCTGTGGCCCTCGTGAGCAACCCCCAGGATTCTGTTCTGCTGGAGGCAGACACCCTTGGGCCCACGGTGAGGAGGGACCCAGGTGAGGGAAGAAGCAGGGGATGGGCAAGGAGGCTGGTGCCATGCGGGGCGCGGACTGGAGGGATGAGTCCCACGTTTTCGCTTTTTGATGATGGTCTGGGTGTGGGGGAGGGGTTCAAGGTATCTGTGGAGTCTGATATTTACAAGGGGATGGGGGGGTAGGGCAGAAGGGGAGGAGCCCGCTGGGACACGTGGCATGAGACGTGATACTGACGAGCCCGCTGCCTTAGCTGCCACCTAGACTCACAGACAACGTCTGCTCTGTCGGGGGTGGGTGAGGAAAGGGCACCAGCTGTGCGGTCCCTCCACCCTCTGGTGCCAGCTGCAGCCTGGCTGACCCCGCTCCAGGCCTCCTCACCTTGCAGTGAGGATAGGTGCCCTGCCCAGCTGTTCCAGAACGGGCCCTCCAGGAGAGGAGGGCACACGAGGGCTGAAGCAGCCGGGTGGTGGCTCTCACATGTCACTGCCCATCAGGCTTCAGGTCCCGCCACTCTGGCTTCTGAAGGCCCGTCCCACTGTGACCCCACCACACACTTGAAAGGCCCCCGGGGAGCCCCACAGCGGGGATCGAACCTAAGGCTGCGATATGGAGGCCCAGCGGCCGGGAGGGCAGTTATAACAATGTTGCACTTTTGTTCTGCTGGAGACAACTGACTTCCTCCCCGGGAGCTTTGGAGAGTGACACTGGGGGCCTGGGCCCCTGCCACATCCTCACCGAGAGCTCACGGACCTTGGTCCCGTCTCTGCACCCAGGAACGGGGCTGGCACGCTGTGGGCACCCAGAAACAAATGTTTGCTGACTGACTGACTGATCACACACGGTGGGTGGCCTCTCACACATCATCCCTGCGCCAGCCCGGAGGGCTCGGCCTCCCCAGGGCCCAAATCACC